TAGTTGGCGTTGACGCAGCAGTTGTTAAGGTAGTCGTCTTTGAAGCGGTCGTTTTCGTCTTAGGTGTTGCTGAGGTGGCTGCAGTTGACGGTGTTGTTGAAGCGAATGCTTTTGATGTAGTTGTTGTTGAGGAGGTTTTAGTCAACATAGTTGTTGTTGTTGCAGGAGGCATTGTGATGTTAACCAGGGGGCGCTGATTGTCTGCGCAGACGCCGTTAACAACCATGACGTCATCAAGGGCGATATCGCCAAAGTTACTTGTACCCCGCACAGCTTGGAAAAGGATAGCTGTTGAGTTTGCTGGGACATCTACTCTTGCCTCGTGCCAGACATTTCTATGATTCCCTACAGAAGGAAATCACATATTTATTTATTTATTTATGTTTTTCGTTGACTCCTGTGCGATGATGATAAAAGAGCTCACGTCAAAAATTCAGTAATGTTACATTTGATGAAGGTCCGAGTCACCATAGCTTATAGTTTTCAAGTCTTTTCAAAATGGTTTACTGTTTATTAATTCGAATTAAATGTTTTATCCTGGCCAAAGTCATATATGTGTTTTTCGAAATACAAATTGGTGATGAAAATGAATTTCGAAACCATAACACTTGGTCACAGGAAAACTGGAATGCAGCCACAGTTAATATCACTGTACAAGTTGAACATTTTGCCCCATTTTTTTACGTCTGTGAAATGGACCTACATGTACATATTTTGGAGGGAGGGGGAGAATTGATCAAATTTTTAAATTAAAATTAAAATTTATTTCTGTCAATGTACTGGTACATGTACGATTTATGTTGTATACTTGGACCAAAAAATGATAAAACGTGACCAACTAGAAGTATGTTACCGTTTTTTATTTATTTATTTATTTATTTATTTATTATTTTTATTTTATTTTATTTTATTTTATTTTATTTATTTATTTTATTTATTTTTTTATTTATTTATTTATTTATTTTTTTTGTAACGTGCGGGGCAATGCAGAATGTCTCCATTTTTTTTCCACCATACCTGATTGTTTCCACAGCAGGGTTTCGTCAAACGGACTGTCATCTTTCAAAGTAAACACGCGTAGAGAGCCTACTACATAACCCCACATATGATAGAAGAATACAGCACATTTCAACGACATTGGTGGATTCAATTCAAATTTGATGGTCGCTGTTGTATCTGGCATTATACCACTAGCCTCCAGGTAAATATACCGACCTAAACCAAGGAAAGTACATACAATCAGATAGATGCTCAACATTGAACAGTGGTCACAATTTTTTTGTTGCTGAAGCTAAAAACACTAAGGAATAAATTTCTGTTTTGATTCTGACAAAAAAAAACAGAACGCTACTATTATATCTCTGCCAGAAAAGGTGCAATCTACAAAAACTAAGTAATAGGTTTTGATTGTCAGTATTATTAGTTTGCATATAGCATACAAACAATTGCCGTCACAATCAAACTGTTATTTTGATGAAACTCAGATGCATCTAATTATTAAGAATTAACAAAGCTAACCTAATGTAATGTCCTCATATAAATATATATCATACCTTTATGGTCAGTAAAGGTGTGGTCCCCCGTTGGTCCAGTCCGGCTACTGAGCGTGTATCCCTGGTGGATCGTCCATGTGATGGTGGTTTTATTGACAAGTCTCGGGGGGACATAATCGTGATAGGTACATGCTTGATCTTTTTCAAATGTGCACGTCATTTCTGAAATGTCGGAGAGCATTCGAAATACAGGCTCACCTACAGCAATGACACATATTGGAACAGTACCAATTCAAAGTGCATTGTATTCAGAACTATTGTCGCTATACTATATTGTTAGGAAAGGATAAACAAAAGTGAACGACAAGCCATTTCTCAAATGGTAGAAATTATGGGAATAATTCGCGTCTTCAGTGCGGTCAAAAATGTTCATGATATTTTACATACTGCCAATGTCATTGTCACTGGTAGAAACATTTACAAACTATACTTTCATTTTCCGCTAAACAGGTGTGCATCAGAGATGTTAATTTTATCAAGTGAATCATCAGATGAAGGTCATGCAGTCCTCGAGTGGCTGCACAGTACTTTTTTCACAAAGAGTGTGTGTGTGTGTGTGTGTGTGTGTGAGAGAGAGAGAGAGAGACAGAGAGAAAGAGAGTTGGTGCACATCGCTACTGGTCAAAAATCATGAGAAAGTACTTGTACTCAGCTTGCAATCTCACTTAATGTAGCCACACAGCATGTCTTTACCGACCTGCATCGCAGGGACCTCGTGTGATGACAACGTTATCTAGGGAGAGACTGGAGTGCGTCAGCACTGTTGACCCAGTTGAACTCGCGTTAAAAAACACCACAATGTCACCAAGTGTCCCCGTGCCTTCTGCTGGTGGAAGGGTGACACGAGCATGTCGCCATGTCCCGTTGCTAATCGCTGAATCTGGGGCTGCAGGTGAAATTGATAATATGATTGATATGATAATATGGATTACATCAGCTTACGCGGATTATGAAATATGATAGGTCCACAAGTCAAAAACGGCTTTACTGATCCTTGAGACACTGCATATCAGTATGATGATCTGTTGGAATTTTGGAGAGAGGGTGCGTGTTAAGGCCCATATACGTACTGTGTTTGTATAGATGACCCTTTCGTTTTGTGACATGATCCGGATAATATACAATATTTTAGTATTTTCCTTCCTTAGCACATTACGTATGCCCATTTTTTAATTGTCGGCAGTCTGCACATTGAGGGAGTTAACCACACAAACATTTTAAAGTAAAACATGTCATTATTAACTGTGAATTATGCATGAGTCTACATGTATTTGTTTACGTCTCACGAGAGTCACTTACAATGTGACGACCAAATCACATCAATCTGAGTTGCGTTTCCAGACATAACAGCGACATCTATCGTCAGTGAGACGCCAATCTGGCGGTACTGGAAGGCGAGACCCCGCGGTATGTACAACGGCGGCATGGGCGGTGACCCCATTACAGCGTCTGTTTTTGAAGTCGTGTTAGCAATGACATGGGCAAAGCCACCTGTAATGGCAAAGGGGAAAATTTGTAAAATTCGCACATGGCATTAAGCCTGCCCGGATAAAGGAGGTGTGCCTCATACACATCTTGGGAGGCAATAGAAATAGTCTCCTTGTCTTAATATTTCATTAATAATTCATAATTATCATTCTAAATGTCGTTTCTGCTCATTGTGTAGCAAAGCAATAATTTTCTCCTTTTTTTCAATCTAATGTTATTCATATGCTGTTTAATTCTGCCATTTTAAACATCCAAAGAACATACATAGATCAGAAATTTGAAAATTGTTTTAAGCATTACATATACCATAGACTGGTCTTTGCGCCTTTATTACATACAGTATATGCATGTTATTTTTACTTCTCATCTCATTTAAAAGATTGAATATTATCATGGACATACCGTCCCCGTTTCTTCCTAAAGTCCACTGCATGTTATCTAGGGAAAGCTGTGTAAAATTGCACCATTGTTCATTAAAGGTGCATTCCACTTCCGCCTCTTTACCATTAACCCTTTGCCCTAGGTGATAGAAATACATGTAGCTATAGCTATACAAAAAATCCATATATGGAGTTGTCTTGTTTTAAGTATAATTTGTTAAGTCTACAACTGCTTCTGAAATAGCCTGTGCTAATGTTACAAAGATATGCGTGATGCCTTTGAGCTATGTGTTGAAACTAAAAAGCTTTCTCAAATTTGTCTTTCTCGTTAAACAGATATTCGTTTTATATTGAACTCCCGACAGAAACATACATTTATATAGGCATGTAAAGTATGAACATTAATGAAAATATTTTCTTTTCTTTCAGGGGGGCAGTTCCATCCATTTAAGAAATCCCCGCCATATTGCAATGAAAACATGTTTAAATACGGACTTGTTTTTACTTAAGTTGCCACATTATAGTATCGAATGAGTGTATGTTACTTACCTGTTGTAAAATAGAACAATATGAAGTAATATACAGCGAGGAATCTCTCTGGTCTTGCCATCTTTCCCTGGGAAGTGTGTGTGAAATATCCACAAGCGTTATTTCCGGATATGAGTAAGAAAAATAAGTCTGCTTTTCGTCTTTTCATAAATGGACATTTGTTTATCTCAAGACAACTCGACCTTCCGTTGTACTAGCGTCACCTATGGTACTTATTGATAAGAGGTAACTTTTGAATTTAAGTCAACGTGCCAAACTTTATAATAATTTAGAATGATCGTACCTGTCGCAGATTGAGGTTAATAACTTGGCCGAAGGTAAGTTTTTTAAAAGAATCCAACAGTTATTGAATAATGGTGATCTTATTTCCAAAACTTTGACGTTTTGAAATACATACATGTGTAAATATATATGTATATGAAACTGTTTTTTTTTTTTTTTTTTTTTTTTTTTTTTTTTTTTTTTTTTTTTTTTTTTTCAAACAAATGTACCTGGGGTTCGCTTAGGAGACAGCGCATAACACGTGCATGCAACAGTAAGAAGCTTTGCATTGACTTTTAATTTTAATCTTTATAGGTTTTAAAACAATGATTGACTATAATGTTTTGGGTGACACTTTCACTTTCAGGGATGCATGTTACCTGATAAACGCATTGAGCAAAAATTACTCCTATGTCAGGAAAGAGTGCTTTAATTATATAAAAAAAAGAAATCCCGTATGTAACTCAAATGAGTTCATTTAATACAGCTGGTTTACAGAAACAGCTTGATTTGCCTGAAACCCAACCCATCAAACTACAACATGGCCTTCGGTTAAAGGATGTTTTAGGACAGATAGAACAGTACAGATAGAATATCAAAGGCTAAACATAAGATAAAATAACAAAATTAAGCCCAAATATTTGTAAGTATATAAGCTTAAAGGTACGAGCTGACAAAATCATTAGGCATGATGGAAATTTATACAGTACAATACAATATGTGGACTTATTAAAATAGAGAAAATACAATCCAAAAAATAATTCACTTTACAGAATCACCACATCAAATATTTTAAAGGCCTGAAAATTCGATAATCTGGTTAACAAACACAACCGACCCGATTTTCGAGGCACCGCTACATATAAAAATTCAGTGGACATTAAATATTGTTTATATACATCAATTGCAACTCATCGTAATCTGCAGGTATACAGTAGAAATGTGTGAAAAGATAAATATGTCACGTACTCATGTAGAATTGAAAATCACCTTCTGTGAGGATAAAGCAATTCTTTTGAATACATAGGGCGCTCCGTTTGTCTACTCAGTTAGTTCTACTCCTAAATCGCACAGAGTCTAAAATAACCTTTATTGCGTCACCATACAACTCCGCTTTGTATTGGATAACACTTTGTGAAAACCAGAACTGTTGCTATGTAATAGTCAGACCAGTGAGCTACAGGGTTACCACTTAATATGGAATATTATTTTTTGTCGAGAAAATGTTCTACAAAATATTTCATTTCTCTCCAACTATTTTAAATCCAAAACTGATGTGTCACTCTATGTGTAGCCAGGTGTGTTACCTAATTACCATGCAACTTTCGAAACAATTAATGTAAGCAGTTGCATGTTCTGTGGTCAGAAATGTGAGGGGTGGTCTTTTCGGCAATTTCTGCCCTTGTATAAAAGCGCATGGGTTTGGTCAATCTTTGGAGTGTATTTAGAGAAGCAACAAAGGGATCGCTCTGAAACTTGTCAGTTACCTTAGAGAAGATATGGTTCGACAGCTAAGCAACGCAGCTTACTATGGGATTCTTGCTCTCAGAGAAAATGGCTAGAAACGGATAGCCATTGCCAGACAATTCAACATTTTTCAGGAACCGTTAATAAAGTCCTCCAAATAAATGCTACAACAG